GGGGGGGGGGGGTGATCTGACCTTTGACCTGTGAGATAAAGCAACTGTTACCTCACACGGGCCGAATCGAGTGGAACAGGCCGCCGTCCGTCAGCTTTTGTTTGACTCTGAACCCCTGAAGTGCCACTTTATTTTGGCGGTGCCGGACTCTTTTTTTCTTTTTAAGTACAAGTGGATGCTTCTGTTTTTGTTTAATTTCTCCTCATGATGTGGTAATTAGTTTAGGAAATGAACGATGAGTTTTGTGTGTGTGTGTGTTTGGGGGGACTGCCTTTTGAAGCCAAACGTCCTCCTCTGGGCGCTCTGGGATTGAGATTAAAGCGGGTGTGTGGGTTAACTAATGGTTGTGGTCTGGTTTAATAATTCTTGTTTGCCATCTGAAATTATTAAAGAATGGACGTCGTACGTTTTCTTTAGTCTGACCATGAAAAATGTAACGGCTTTCTGTAAAAAGGCCTTATTCAGATTCAGATTGCAGCTGGTAGGAGCCTCTATATGACTTGTTTATTACTTATTATCTAACCTGCTCTCACATGGTTCAGCAGCCTCTAAACCTCCCCCAGGCTCCGGGTTACATTACATTTTCTCAGCTGTGATGTTTTTAAACAGCTGTGTGTGTGTGTGGGGGGGGTTTCGGTCTCCATCTGAAAGGTGTTTTAACATTTGACTGTATTTGAGGTTTGTGGATGGAAGTCCCCAACGACGTGGAGCATTATCAGCTGAAGCCAGTGTTATGGAACAATTCTTTAAATGAGTGAGACAAAGTTTCTTAATAATTAGAGAAGATCGATCTTGTCCAATAAAGGCGTTTTATTAGAAGGCAACAGCGTTCGAAGACACAGATCACAGAGTAAACTCAGGTTAAAGACACGTCCCCTTATTTAACTTAGTATGGATTAAAAAGGGAAAGGCCACTGTGTTTCTTATCAACAACAAACAATTCAGATTTATTCCTCAGTCCTTAAGGAAGTCCCATGGAGAATCTCCAAAAGAAAAAAAGCTATGCTTATTCTCAGGAGACAGGAAAGGGCCCCCATGTGGACAGACCAAAAGGAGAATCTTCTCAGGAGTGAGGATGGAAATAAGGACAAGTCATACAGTTTCAATGATAAACAGTAATGGGAGATTCATCATTGATGGGATTAAGGAAACTGTTGCATTTCCTACTGGTGCTAAAAAAAACAGACTCCAGACATCCGAGACGACTTTCCCTAACGGAATTAACAACCAGGTATCTTTAAAGAACCAAAAAAGAAAAAATCTCCAACACACCAGACACCTATTGGTTCATTTTATGAATCAAAAGGGAGCAGCTTCAGCTTTTAGTTAAGAAATAAGTGAACTTTTAAGTCATCTTTAGCCTAAACAGCTGAGCATGACAGGTGGCAAGTGGAAATAAAACATTTTTAATTATATTATAAATTCATTAGAGCATGTAACGGGGGATTTAGCACCAAAACGAGGATCTCCCCCCGTTACATGTTTGTCCTCAGAGGTGGATTTGGGCGAAGAGTTTCCGGGGAACCCCGGGTTCCTGGACTTTTCCCGCGGGGATGTGCGGCGGCGTTTCCTCCCGGGGGGGAGAGCTGTTCTCTTTGTCCCCCATCAGACCCCCGTAACACTTTCTGCAGGCCGCCTGGTATTTGTCCGCCCCGCCGATCACCTCCACCTGCGATAGGGAGGCAAAACTCAGTGACCCACACACAGAAAAGCCTCCTCCTCATTGGTGGTGGCTGCCTCTCTAACCCCCTCTGCTGTTCAGACCAGGGACAGCCATCGTTTGCTTTCACTTTAATGTTTATCTGCCAGCTTCTGTTGGGTTTCCGTGGCTACTGTGTGTTGCTACGTGCAGCTGGTGGATGTGGTAAAGGGGACATATTATGCAAAACCAAGTTTTTAATCATTTGATTATGTACATTTGGGACTGTGGATTATTTCCAAATGGTCTGTCCGCTTCCTTTCATAGCTTTTCCCCTGGTTGTGCTGCTTCCAGACATGCGTTTTCATGTTAAAGCATTTAACCAATCACACCATTTGCTAGGCAGAGTAAAAAATGTCAGCTTGGAGGCCTTAACAATCTGTTCATAGGGCCCTCTTACAGAAAACAAATGTCGATTAAAGGGGACATATTATGCAAAACAAGATTTTAATAATTTGATTATGTAAATTTGGGACTGTGGGGGGCCTATCAGCAGGCAAAGTGTGAAAAAAAATGACTCAGTCATGTTTTTGTGGGCCGCCTCAGTCTGAATCCAGGAGATAAATCAGGAGGTTTCAGGAGTGGGTAGTTTCTGACGTCATTAGCTCTAGCTCATTATAATATTCCAGCCTTTCACCTGCATGTTGCCCCCCCCCCTCAGCTTACTCCCCTATCTGTGCCAGACGTGGTAGCGTGAGCGTTAGCATGGTAGCGTTAGCATGGTAGCGTTAGCATGGTAGCGTTAGCATGGTAGCGTTAGCGTGCCGACGTGGGCACAGCTCCCGGAAGAAGTGGGCGGATTGCCTGTGTCTCATTTGCATTTAAAGAGACAGGCACTCCAAAGCGAGCGCTCTGAACGGGGCTGTTTTGGGTTAGGGTTAGGGTTAGGGTTAGGGTTAGGCAGGGGGACTGAACTGCTATTGGGCTTCATCCTTATGGGATTTTGACCAAAGCGTGTCACAGACATTACATTAGGACACCAGGGAACTAGTTTAACTAGTTGAAATAGGGTATAATATGTCTCCTTTAAGTTAATTTATACTAAGACTTGTCTACTAATGATGTGTAAAGAAAACAGAACAAACCGTCAAACATCTGTAAGTCCCGATGATTACAAAAAAATCTGTTTGTCAAATCATCACAGTTTAAAGGCTCCAAAGCGCCCCCAATTCAACAAAGTCCAGTTGTTTTTTTATTTTTAGGACTTTTGGGGGTTTTGAACCTGATTCACCAGTCTTTGAATGTGCTTTGTGACCTTTGACCTCTCTGAATATTCCCATCTCCCCTCCTCACCTCCTTCTCGGCTCCGAGCCTCTTGGTGTAGGCAGCCTCTTTGTAACACTGCATGCAGACGGCGTTTAGCTTCACCACGCTCTCTGCCAGAGGGATGAGGTGCAGGATGTTTCCAAACGGCTAAAACAGAGCACAGAAACACACAGAGGTCAGCTGGGACAGAACAGAAATGACTGTGTGCAGGACCATGAGCTCACTGGATCCTCTGAGTTGGTGCTCACGCAGATTGTTCAGGTTTTCCTTAACTCATTGACTGCCAAAGACGTCTGTAGACGTCAATTCAAATACAACCGTTGGATGCCAAAGACGTCTATAGACGTCTTTTATGTTTTTCAACGAGAGTGGCTGGGGGACGATCTGCTAAAGCTTGTCCATAAATATCAGGCTTCTAGACAGAGTATGTAGTAACAAATTGACCCTCTAGGGGGCAGTGCCACTTTTGATGGGAGATGAGCATAGACTGTAGGCAAATAAGAAAAAGGTAACGGTTCGCTATGAGAGAACATGTCGCCGGTGAGACGCAAGTCCAGGAAGAACGGAATAAGGTAGAAACAATTTTTTTTCCTGATGAAAGAAGAGAGTCTACTCTTTCTTTTGGGGTGTTCAGTGTTTACATAGTCATAGCACAAACTATTCTGTGGCTCTCGAAAAATCTGTCAAAATGCTAAAAAAAATGGCAGTCAATGAGTTAAATACATGTTTTTTCTGGGATATTTGGCTCTGAGGGGAAACTCACCTTCCTCTGAAAGGTGCCGTCCAACGCGGCCACAATCACCGTCTTCCCTAAATTGGCCATCTCCTCACAGAACTCCACTATGTCTGGAAACTACAAAGAGGCAAAGAGGAGCACATCTGTAAACAGCAGCCCTTTTCAGGCCATAAAAAACAAGCTGTTTTCACATAAAACTGAACCTTAGTGAAGGCTAAATGTGACCCAAACTTACAAACTGGCCTTCGTCTATCCCGACCACGCAGGCGTGCAGCGCCAGGGGCCGGACGTCCCGCAGGCAGTTGGCCGGCACCGCCTCCATAGTGCTCCTGAAAAGGACCACAGGACAAAAAGAAAGAAGCATGAAGTGTGATCTTACTTTTCCTGAACGAAAACCATAACTCCATAAACTCCTCCAGACCCCCCTCTCCACAGAGCATCTCCTATCCTGACTCCCCCCCAGACCTCTGGACCCTCTAATACTCTCTCTGAGCTTCCCTCTATCTCCTCCTGTCTCCTCTGACTCTGACTGGGGGTTTTCCTCCAGAGAGCTGATTGTCCGGTTGATGATAGCTGGAACATTGTGTCTACTTTGTATGTTGCCTTGGATAAAAGCGTCTAAATGCAGAAACATACACACAAACATGAAAGCCCCCAAAAAACAGCTTTAAAGGCCCCAAAAACAGCTTTACGAACCCCAAAAAACTGCTCTAAAACACAAAAAAAACTGCTTCAAAAGCCCCCCAAAAACAGCTTTAAAAGACAAACAACCATTTTAAAGCCCCAAAACAGCCTTACTGTTAGAACTGATGATAGCTGGAACATTGTGTTTACTTTGTAAGATGCTTTGGATAAAAGCATCTAATAGCAGAAACAAACACCCAAAAGCACAATGTCTTCCTACACTGTTTGAAATGTGTCCGCTAGAGATATAAAACAAAAAAACTCATCTGCCTGTTTGCACTTTTTCAGCTGCTGAAGTTCTGTCCATCAAAAAGAAGTTTCTGTTTCAAAACACAAAGTTTAGCAGTTCACAGGTTTATGCATCACCAAACAAACTTCTTCTTTCACATGTTTAACTTTGCTGTGTACAAACATAATCAGACGTGATGCCCAACTACATTATGAACACTTTCTGTTAAAGGTGGGAAATTGCAAACTCCCTCCTTCACACATATTATCTATATTATCTATTATCTATAAAGGTCGTACTTGTCGTGTGTGGCCATTCCCGTCTCTGAATAACGAGTGTCCTTGGCGTATTTGACCACCAGGCATTTGTACTGGGCTATCTGGAACCGCCGCACTCTCCTCATCAGCTCAGTGCTGCAAACACAAAAATAATCAACACAAATTTGGTCAAATTGTTCATTATTTACTGCTCAATACAGGGCACAGGTTAGGTTATAAACCTGAGCATTGTTCACATAACTATCTGGTAATATAGCATACATTTACAGTAACGGGAACAAACATCTGGAAAGGTCGTACAGTCAAAAAGACGTTCAAATTTACAGTACGAATATGCCAAATAGGCGTTATATGCACAGACATTGAGGGCTGACTCGTACGTCAACGTCGCCGCCATCTTGGATGTGGCAAAGTGGAGAATCAGAGTCAGTGATCAGACTGAACCGCTGTAAATCTCAGGGTTTTATGTCCACCAACATCTCAAAAGGCTGTCCTGTGGACAAGTCATTAATGCCAGAGGGCATCCCAAAAGCTGAAGGTAGACTAATGATGACAGGTTTTCTAGTAGCAGCCAGATTTATTCTTTTCTAAATGGAAGAGCCCACATAGACCAGAAATCAAGGAACGGCTTAAGCTTATGTCAGAGACAGCTGCTTATGAGGTCACGATTTCTAGGGTGCAGAAAGAGCCAAGTAAGGCTAGCCAAGCATGGGTATATTCTGACTACAATGTTGGTAAAAATTCTTAAGGGATTTGGGGTGTGATGTATGTTGTGAGTATGAATATGTGCATTGCTATATCTGTGAAAAAATCACTGATAAGTGTTGTCATGTTCTGTGTTGCTGCCGGTGTTTGTGTTTTAGTTGTTGAATGTCATCTGTTTGTAAATGTGTTATAAAAGAAAAATAAATTAAAAAAACTTTAATGAAGAAAAAAAAAAGGCTGTCCTGTGATGAGTGCTTAGTTAGTCTGGTGGAGGGCTGATGGTTCCTCTGACAGAGTCCTAAAGCTGGTCAGCCACCTGAGGCTTCATTTACCAGTCAAAGCTGCCTAGATCTGTCGGTTTGTCCGGCTGAGATCAGTTCTAAGGTTGTGTTTTTTCTGGGAGGACGGGAAAATTTCAGAAACACAGTTTGGCATTGACAACCACCACTTTGTGCTGATTTCAATAGTCGCATCTGTCTTCCATAAACTGAGGCTGCAGACCATGAGAAACTGACAGTTCTCTGCTGGCCTAAGAAAATATCTGAATCACAGACTGATGTTCATTATATTTTGTCCATAAATACTTATTAAATATTTCCAAATGGTCTGTCCGCTTCCTTTCATAGCTTTCCTCCTGGTTGTGCTGCTTCCAGACATGCATTTTCATATTAAAGCATTTAACCAATCACATTTCAGCCATCATTTGTTGCTAGGCAGGGTCAAAGTCAAAAATGAAACTGTTGCTTAAACCAATCAGATTTTTTGTTGGTGACACCCTGAACCTCTAGCGCTCTGCCCTCTGATTGGATAGTCAGATAGCTTACCAGATAACAAACCGAAAAATAGTTGTAGGTTGTGTTGGTGTAGTAGCTATTGTATCACCCAACAGTGGCCGAAGGAGAAGAAATTTATCTGATGGCAGATTAACTGTCAAGCCCATTTTCAAGACGGACTTTTCAAGAAAAGTAAGTGAGTAAAATGGTGCTTTTTTCCTAAATTATATTTTAAGTCCATGAGGATATTATTGATGTATTTTTTTTTGGGGGGGGGGCAGTAGTAGAAGACTTATGCACCCCTGATCTTTATATTGTATTTCTACATAATAAGATATATACTGTATATATTAAAAATGTGAATATAAAAAGGATTAATCAAAATCAGTTAAACGTGAAAATCTGTGCTCTTTATTCAGAAAACCATCATGTTATCTACGTTTCAGGATCTGGTTGTTATGGACACAGATTACATATTAAATGTCAATATTTATATTACAGTAACAGTGTTACACGCATTAGTAGCTGAAAACACTCAGCATTGAAAGTACATACAGAGGTTTGGTGCTTCCTTATATCCTAAACATCAGGAGTTAGCATTTATAATCATCACTTTAAAAGTTACATATGATTGTTGTTTATGCATAAGATGCATTAACTTGAGGCACGTTGTAGAAAGGCACTTTATGGAGTTCGGTTCGTTTTCTTTGATTAGTTTAAGGACAGTTCTGACACATCCAAGATGGCGACGCGCTAACGTATCCTAGCAACAGACCGACCCGCTCAATGTATGACACACATATCCGAATTGGCGGGACGGTGAAGCTTGGGTTGAAATTGTAACAACTACAGTGTTTTAATATGACTTAAGACACTGAGCATGGAAGCCAGGAAGCATCTCCATCAATACAAATGCAGTTACGCGTTTTTATACATGTAGCAAACTCACCTCTTCCCAGAAAACATCGGCCCAAAGATGACCTGCAAACAACAACAAACCAGCCGTTAACCTAAACCAGTCTTGCACATTATCCAGAGCTCCAACTGCGTTTAAAGCTCAATTTTGTCCTGGTAAGCTTAGTTTTAACTAGCTAAAAAAATCGTAGACTAACCTGAATTTGTCCTCTTGCTTTCATTGGTGAGTTTGGTAAAACTCTTGGAAAATCTACGCAGTCCATTTTAAAATAAGCTGAACAGAAATATTAAAATATATAAAAGATACCAAGTGATATAAATATAAAAAGGAGAGTGTATTGCTACAAATATGCAGCCCGTGTAGCTATT